TGTGCCTAGGGGGAACCAGCTACACCTCCCTGACAAGGCCCAAAGAAGACCAAAAAAATTGTCTGGGGCTGCTGTATCTCTCATGCAGAGAGAACTTGCTGGCGTTTCGGTTCTGGACTGCCATTATGGGTGGGATCAGTCTGCTATGCTTCAGATATGTTCTCACTGTAATGGCACAAGTGAGCAAAAACTATTTTGAGAACTAAGCGGGGATTTACCAAAGGCAAGCTACTGAGTCTCTCTAAGCCTTTGTCCGTTCTCATATCCTTTGTTTTTGTTGCAAAGCAATTTTAAAAGCAAGCAAAGGAAATAGACCCCTGCAAGGCCCTATTGTGTATGTGTTTGAAATAAAGCATTACATACATGTACCGTAATCTAGTGTTGCACTGTCTATGTATAGAAAATGGAAATGTAAACTGTTCCTTAAGTGTTAAGTTGAGGACACTAGCAAGTAGAAGCAAATGGAATTAAATGTTGATCTAAGGAAGACAGTATAGAGCTGGGTACCAAAAAGATTGTGTTGAGGTCAAACACGGTACAACTCCCCACAATACAAATACAAAACATAAATACTGCTATGCATTACCTGCATATCTCAACTAGCAGGGGTCCTTCTTGGGCATCGTAGGTTTCAAAGAGGGAGAGCAAATATTGTGGAGATTTAGTGCAACAACACAGAAGAGGGTATGTTGCAATGTTGCGATATCGAAATAGCCCTTGTCTTTGTGCTTTTCTTGGTCCCTCCCTTTGTTTTTAGTGTGGATATTACCCTAACGTGATACTGCAGTGGGTAGGCCAGGAATTAGGAACATTATTTTATACCTACCATAATTTGCTTTTCCTGTATAGATCCAAGGCAGCATGGGATACCCACCCTATGTTCACACTGTATTTTTCTTTAGGAGCTTGGCTCTAGACTAGAGATATTTCAATATGGGTGTGTATTTAAAGTTTTAATTTCCTGTCCTTAACAACAAAGTGGAGAGAGCTATGTTGATGTTGCCATGGATATGTCCAGGAAAAAAAAATTACAATATGAATAAATTTTCTATAATCTATTATAACTGTTATTGTGGTGTAACGGAATGTATGAACTTTAAAAAAAATTTTTAAAAAATGTCCTTTCAAAACTTATGTACAATGCATATGCTTTGCCTCTGATGCCTATAAACATACCATATCTATTGTAATGTATGTGTGCACAGACTTAGTAGAGAATTAAAAAATAAATAAACAATAATTACTTTACGTACAGTCGGGTAATCAAGTGTCCAGGAGCTTTCTAACATAACATCATCGATATATCTGTACCAACCTCTATGGGTGATGCCCAAGCTGGAGTTCCATCTGGCAAGGTCTCCTGCAGGGGCTCCTCCCAAAGAACACAAGATTCGGGAATGGTGTTTTCTCCAGTTTCATCCATTTTCATCCAGTATTGGAATCCACTAGACACCCCAGTGACCCTGAGCATTCCATCTGGGTGGGTGCCAGAAGCTTCTGCTGGTAGGTTTGCATCTACAGATTCCGTTTCGGAGTGCAGAATAGGAGATGCTGTCACTTCTGACATGGAGCTTTTCGGTTCAGTGGATGGGTGAAGAGTGGAGAATACTTGTGGTGGAGGAAGCTGAGGATAGAGAAAAAGAAGACTCTAAAACAACAACGGACAACTACTACTTGAAAATAAAAAATGTATGGATAGCCTTATAACCTTATCATCCCATTCATTCCAACAGCATCTCCCAGAGCTTTACTCAAACAACCCATTAATTGTACCCTTATGCAGCAATGTTATATGGTAACAAACACCTATGGACGTGACGGCTAAATGTGGAATTGCAGAAATTAACTACTTTTTCCATGATGATCAGTCAGCTAGTTCACATATATCTGGGATGTCAAGCATAGCCATAATTGAACGAAGTCCAGTTTCATGCCAAGAAGATGTGACTGAGGCAGATTGACCCTCTTTTTTAAATACTAGAAGGATGATGAAAAATAACTATACAACTTTATTACTTACCTGTGAGCTAGTGCTTGTTTCCAATAATCCAGTCATAGTTTTATGAAAAGAAGTAGTACTACTCTCATTGACAGCTATGGGAGAAAAACAAACATTCAGTTTTCGTCATTTTTTTTTTTTTATTTCACTGCAGTGCTAAATTATAATAACAATATTTACTTTCAAGAAAAAGTTTATTTTCCCCCAAAGGGTTTCAATCCCATATAACACACAATTACAAATGGCTGTAAATAGGTTATCCAGCTCAATATCACTTTTTATAAGTTACGAAATGATGAACATCCAATAGTGAGCTATTTAAACTGCAATAGTAACAAAACACATTTTGGAAATACTTTTATTGTTTTATTCTTTAACATTACTAAAGTGCCAACCTGTACATTTTCCAAAATGATAAAAATTAATATAATGGGAATTATTGCAATGAGGTGGTCCGGCACAGGAAAATTAAAAGCAGTCAAGCAACTTAATTTTATTGGAGTGATTATCTCTATGTATTGTTTTTTTGTTTTGTTTTTTATTTACCTGGTTTAACCATGGAGGCCATCTTGGCGTCATGGCACACCACAAATTATGGTTATACAGATGTTTATGTAAATCTCAATATCACTAGAGCACATTACAAGGCGTGTTTAAACATTTTGCACACTCATGTTCCTTGGACTTCGTGCTTTAGTCCTAATGTAATGCTCAAGATCGCTGAAAGTTCCACATTAGCATCAATTTATAATGGGGAGGGTTTAAGTTTCAGTCTTAAATATCCTTAGGGGGTACCTCAGTAAGTGTATTGTGTGTGCAGAACATTTAAGTTTTGAGACTTCTCTTATTTTCTTTTTTATAGAGGTGAGAAAATACAGTTTATAAACATTTCCCTACTCTTTTGGGTTGAATATCTCTGGTGGGAGCCAGACAAGAACCTGTAGCTTTCATAGGTTGTCAATGGTAGCATTATGTTGTAATAGAGTTTAAGACTCCACTGGTTACAGATATCTTCCATATCTCCATGTACATTGTAATATGCTCTAGAGATCAGTTTTTGGACCTAGGACCATCCTGAATTGAGAGACACAGACTTCTGTAATCATCTGTATAACCAAAATTTCTTGTATGTCATGACACAAAGATGGCAGCTATGGTTAAAATACATCAAATAAAAACCAAACAGAAACTTCGGGTTTAAAAAAAAATAATAATAATAATGGTCAAGCAACTAACTAACTATTATTGGACCACTTGGATAACGTACAGTTATTGGACCACTTGAGCTGAACTGACCCAATGCCATTTTATCCAGGCCTAAACTTCTCTTCAGAACTGTATGAACACTTTTTTAACTAGTATCTTTTTAGACTAATTTTGTAAATTTTGTGCAATTCTCTAACAAATCCATTGCTTAAAAAGTATCTAAGTTTGCTTTCTTCTCACGGTTTAAACAGGATCAGGTATGACATGTTTAAACATCTGCTTTCACATACAACCTGACTATATATTCATGAAGTGAGAATTATTTTACTAACCAAGATTGCTTGGCCTAAAATGTATAATTGTCAATTTCTTATATTTCTTGATTAACCCAAAAGTCACTGGATTTATATTAGTATATGTCTTTTTTGGCATGCGTATAGACACCATCATTATTTTTTTTTGTTTTTAAATCAATGAAAATATTATATATATATATTTATTTATTTTTTAAAATGCTATCTTTATTATTGTAACCAGTATTAATGGATCTAGGTGTTTTTTAACGCAAGTAATTTGTATTTTTTCAATGTGCTATTTGCACAAACCTAAAATCGTTTTCTTCTTTTGACCATGTATTCAGATAAGGTTTTGATGTAGTTACATAATTTTCCTGATAATTAGTGAGTATACAATCCAATAAAGTGACACTCCAGATACCTTAAAAAAATAAACTGGTGGCATTTATAGCTTTTAAAAGTACCACAGTAGCTTGTCTATTATTTTAATAAGTATATTACTTGAAGCGGTCAATACAAATGTGTTTAATTCTTGTGGTACAGTGCACATGCAAATGTATGGAAGAAATGCCATATCACAGTGTGTCCGCCCAGAGCATCAAAGGGTGATGATATGACCCACACGTAAAGGGGTGGACATTTTCTGGTATCTGAGAAATAAGCCAATTGCGGCAAGCTGTACGAATTTCAGGACAGAACTGATAGTAGATTAAAAATAGTGGTCTGAGAGGAATTCAAGAACAATGCAGGAAAACTTCAAAAATAAGAACTTCTAAAGACAAGTGTATATTTGTTATAAATTATTTCAATATACTTTGTGGATTTTCAATGCATTATCTATATTATGAATTCAAAATGGATCAGCTCTAGTCTAGAATGACCCTTAATTAAATAAATAATACACATATCTAGATCCTCACCAACAGAGTGGCTTTCTGGAGTATGGAGTCGTTCCTCCTCTCTACCTGGCAACTTGTGGGACAAGGCATCATTCTGTTCTTCTAGATTCAGGATCTGTCGCTTTAACGCCTGGTTCTCCTGTTCCAGTTCCTGGATTTTCCACTCTTTCAGAGCAGCTGCATCATCTTTAGAAGCCAGTATCTGATGCAGTTCTGCCACTTGGGCTTCAAGTTCCCGCACAAGCTCTGCATAAAGGGCTGTCACTCTGCTCCCAGATCGTGTTGTCCAGCATTGTTCCCCCTGCACAATGTGACCTGTAATGATTCTTGGATCTCTAGCCTTGCTGCTAGACACAACATGGTGGTCAATTGACCTTTGGTTCTCGACATAAGAGGCACTTGAACATCTGGTGGGGACAGGGTAGGAAACCGGACCATTCAACGTTCGCTGTCGCTTCCTGGAGATAGAATCCTCATCAGAGCTATGCATGATGGTACCGCTAGAAGATAACACATGGGACAGAATAGTTAATAAATATGTTGAGATATGTTGAATATCTGTGCAATTAAAGGTCATAAGTAACACATAACATTACTAACTTGGGTATCTGCATTCCAGATGTGCCGCCATCTTGATGTGAGCGATACGGGACAGTGGGCAGTATAGGTTCAGGTTTCTCAAACTTTCGATCTGAGTCTCCGGCGGTCAAATCCATTTGCAGGACCTGAAGTTACATATTCTCACCAAGAGGATATCTGGAGTTTCCTGCCAGGGTCCTCAAGAAAACATAACACATTTAGAAACTGAACAATGTGGGCTCACAGAGAGCAAAACAATGGACATTAGGTCACATAATATAACAGCTGTTTAAATGAAATATTAAAATTAACCAGGAGATACTGAGAAGAATGTATAAAAAGTAATTGCAGAGCAAAGTGCTAAATGTGAAGAAATAAAAAATAACAACACTTCACTGGTTTCCATGGTGATTCATGTAGAATTAGCATATTGCTTATAGATGTGTGGTTTCTCATGTATTATGTGTCTGCAGATTACATTCTCCTCTTTATGGCTGCATTTAAAGGGCCTTCATCTTATTGTGCTTTACAGCAATGTCTCCGTGTCCGGTCTCTCTCCCATTTAGCCCTTTGATAGATAAAGCCTCATTTAATCCCTTCATTCCCCCACTCCCCTGTTCTCTCACCTCCATGTGTCTGTTTACATCGGTGGACTGTTTCCGGATCCTTAGCTCCGCCTCCTCGCTGACACGTTCAACTGCTCATTGGTTGCCTTCATGATGCCCTCGCTATCTGATTGGAGGAAGGGGAACTGGCTCCGCCCTCGCAGTCACTCGTATTGGCTGTTTACTTAGAGCGATGCAGCTCTTTCACACCACGTGACGCTCTGCCAGGCCCCGCCCCCGTCCCTGTATCCACGACAACTGACCTCGGCTCCTCCCCCTCTTAACTTTGTACTGGCGCGTGACGTCATGCTGTAACGCTTCATGTTGCGGAGCTTTGGGACGTTGCTGTCACGGGCCGTTTGCCCCAGTCAGCCGTTTCCGGTGGCCCGAGCAGCCAGTGGCCGGACTGGAAGTGACGTCATGGATTTAGGGTCGATGCGGAAGAGTTACCGGAGTGATGAAGAGGTAATAGGTCATGACCTTAGATTAGGAGGAGCATGGAGGATGGGCAGGGTTAGATTGACCCAGGTTACCAGCTGTCACCATGTCTGCCTAAATTGACACACCCAGAGAGAGAGAGAAAAAAAATAAACATTTAATTTCTCTGTATTTAAAGGAACAATATAGTCACCAAAACATCTTTAGCATAATTAAGCCGTTTCTGTGTATAGATCATGCCTCTGCAGACTCACATTTCTATTCCTGATCCTATGTTGTTCCTTTAACCTTAAAAGTTTTTTTTTTTTTTTTTTTCTCCTGTTCTGTAAATTGAGCTTTACATACAGAAGGCTCCTGCAGGGTCCAGCAAGTCATTAACAGTGCAAGAGAAAATAAATTCTAACTTAAACAGAATTTTCAATAAAGGAAGTGTAAACATTAGATGACTCTTTACAGGAAGTGTTTAGGAAGGCTGTGTAAGTCACATGTAAGGGGGTGTGCCTAAGGCTGCATAAACAAAGTGATTTAACTCCTAAATGGCAGAGACGTGAGCAGTGAGACTGCAGGGGATCTATAGACCGAAACTGCTTCATTACTTTGTTTTGATGACTATAGTGTCCCTTTTAACAAATAAGTGTTTGTGAAGAATGAGAAATAAAAATAAGTGTAGAAATCAAAACCACTTTTTTTTTTATCTTTGCCCTGACGCAGAGTGTCTTTTTTGGTTCCCTATCATTGGTATGAGCTCTGCAGAAATAAAGCAATTAAGTCAATACAATTCATCAATATAGATACTTATACACTGATCAGCCACAACATTAAAACCACTGACAGGTGAAACAAATAACATTGATTATATAGTTAAAATAGCGCCTGTCAAGTAAACAGTCCTTGAATTCCATTTGTTGGAAGCAGGAAAAATGGGCAAGTGAAAAGATCTGATTGACTTTGACAAGGGCCAAAATGGGCTACAGAACTGGGTTAGAGTGTCTACAAAATGGCAAATCTTGTGGGGTGTTGCCGATATGAACTGTTGTCGGTCATGTGCGTCCAAAGCTTATTGATACATGAGGGAACGAAGGCTAACCCATCTGCTCCTGTCACACACAAGGGTTACAGTATTGCAAATTGCTGAAAAACGTAATTCTGGCCATGATAGAAAGGTCAGAACACAGAGTGCATTACAGTTTGCTGTGTATGGGGCTGCACAGCCAGAGACCAGTCAGAGTGCCCATGATGACCCCGGTCCACCGCCAAAAGCGCCTTCAATAGGGATGTGAGCAACAAAACTGGACCATAGAGCAATGCAAGAAAGTTGCCTGGCTTGATGAATCACGTTTTCCTTTAGACCAGGTGGACGGTTGGGTGTGTTCATCATTTACTTGGGGAAGAAATGGCAGCAGGATGCCCTATGAAAAGAAGGCAGGCTGGCAGAGGCAGTTATGCTCTGGGCGATGTTCTGCTGGGAAACTTTGGGTTCTCATTCATGTAGATGTTGCTTTGACATTTACCACCTACCTAGAGATTGTTCTGCTGGGAAACCTTGGGTTCTCATTCATGTAGATGTTGCTTTGACATTTACCACCTACCTAGAGATTTTGGCAGACCACAACACTTTTTGCGTAACCATTTCACCGACAATCTCTGCTAAATATTGGAGTAAAATTGTGTTTTTTCTCTATTTTGGCATATACACATATAACAAGGTTTTTTGTAATGTGTATTTCATAAACCTAGTGTGTGCTATCCCTCATATTGTGTTCAGCTACATTTGCTGAGTACAACGATACCCCCATTGTATACATTTGCCCCTATTCTGTGAAGCTACAATGCCATATAGGAGACCATGCTATTTCAGTTTCTATAGTTGGAATTTTCATAGATGATCATATGTCTGATTTTGTGGCATTATAGCCATTTAACTGTTCAAATAACCCCACAAAGGCTTTCCATTTGAGAAAGCAGACACTCCAGGGTATGTTATTAGGCATATGTTATACCTTAACTTGCCACCATTTTTTCACCAATTTATTTCAAATTTTGTGGTGAGAAAACAAAAAATTACATATTTTTTTACATACATGTTGCATTTTCGCTGGGTATTTCTTACATTTGATAAGTGCCACTGTCATAAATTCCCCCTAAGTATGCTCAGTTACCTCTTCTGAGTAAAACAATATGCCCAATGTATGACCCAGACACTATTTTGTGAAGTTACAGTGCTGTGAAAGAGACGTGATAAGTTCAGATTTTTAAGTCTGAATTTACATGGAGAGTTTTAATGGGTCCGTATTCTGTTTTTAAATATGTTCGCTTAGCAGGCTGCTTTTTCCAATTACCCCAAAAAGGCATACTATTTCTTAAAGAAGACGCCCAAGGGTATTTCAAAAGGCAAATTTTGAACCTTAGCGTGGCATCATTTTTCCGTTCGCTTGTATCAAGTGCAGTGGTAATAAGTATTTTTTTTTCTGCCTTTTTGACACATAGTGAGTTTGTACTGTATATTTTGCAAACCTAATTTGTGCTACGGCTTTATAATACTTTATATGTTGCTCAGCTATGTTGTCTGAGTACAGCAATACCCCCGGATGTACCTTTGCCATGTGTATGTGGATGTTGAAGGGGCAGACACAGCCATTGCAGGTTTTTTCAAACTTTGCATTTTTACGCTGTGTTGTTACCCCACTTTGGAGTTTTTTAGCAGGCTACATATTCCAACTATCCCATAAAAGCATACTATTTCATAAAGAAGACATCCCAGGGTATTTCAAAAGGCATATTTTGAACCTTAGCGGGGGATCATTTTTCCGCTAGCTTGTACCAAGTGTAGTGGTACCAAGTGTAGTGCTTTTTTGACACACACAGTGAGTTTGTACTGTGTATTTTGCAAACCTTATGTGTGCTACAGCTATATAATACTTCCTATCTTGCTCAGCTATGTTGCCTGAGCACAGCAATACCCCCATATGTACCTTTGCCAGGTATATGTGGACATTGAAGGGGCACATTTGAGACACAGCCGTTAAAGTTTTTTCAAACTTTAAATTTTTACGCTGTGTCCATACCCCACTTTGGAGGGTTTTTTTTTTTTTTTTTTTGTAGGTTAATTATTCCAGCTACCCCATAAAGGCATACCATTTCTTAAAGAAGACACCCTAGGGTATTTCAAAAGATGTATTTTGAACCTTAGCGTGAAATAATTTTTCCGCTAGCTTATACCTTATGCCTTTTTGACATACTCAATGAGTTTGTAATATATATTTTGCAAGCCTTATATGTGTTACAGCAGTATAATACATCATATGTTGCTCCGCTATGTCATCTGAGTACAGCAATACCAGGTATATGACAACGTTGAAGGGGCATATTTGAGACACAGCCATTTAAGTTAGAATTTTTACACTGGGTCCATGCCCCACTTTGGAATTTTTTTAATAGGTTGTGTTTTCCATTTACTTCACAAAGGCATACCATTTCCTAAAGAAGACACCCCACGGTGTTTCAAAAGGCATATTTGAAACCTTACCGTGGTATCATTTTTTCACTAGCCTGTACCAAGTGTAGAGGTAATACGCATTTTCCCACTTTTAAAAAGTTTTATTTAGCTTTTAACAACTTATTTGAAAACTTTGTTTAAACTTTTCAAATGTTTTTTTTTTCACTTTTTAACTTTGTTTAAACTTTTCAAAAGTTGTTTTCACTTTTAAATAGTTTTTTTTAAAAACTTTTAACCCCTAACTAGCCTAACCATAAATCCCCCAATTTCCCCACTAACTTCTACCCACCCTAGCTAAATAAATAAATATTTTTAAATATTTAAATTAATTAAATACATTTAACCCCTGAGGATAAAAAAAATAAAAGTTAACCCTCAGGGGTTAAAAAAAAAAAATCAGATCACAGTGAAATACAGGCAGGCAGTGATGCACAAGTGATCAAAGGGCAGGGAAGGGGTTAAATTTTATTTGAAAGAGGTGAGGAGGGGTGGGATTTTGTACCTAACTTTTTTTTCTTGCAGAGAGAGACAGATCAGCACCGATCTGTGTCTCTGCAGTTCACAGCTCACACAGAGCTGCAGGGAAACAGATTGGGTTTCAATGCAGCACGTGTGATCGCTCTGACTCCCGGTCAGAGCGATCACATGGGCTGAATCAGTGAAACTGCCCATGGTAGTGTGCCTCCGATATGGAGACACACTACAGGAAGATTAACCCCACGATTGCCGCGATTGTGGCAATCAGGGGTTAATTTTCATTTTGGACGGAAATTTTACGTCCAGCGTCCTTAAGGGGAGTGCTGCAATGATGGAAAATTTCTGTCCAGCGTCCTTAAGGGGTTAAGGTAACTTTTATGTTCTGTATTGTTTTGGTTTTTTTTTTTTTTCAGGACGGGGGGGGCACTATGGAACAGGGAAAGAACATGAGGGGGAGAGAGAGGAATGTTAACGGAGGGCACTATGGTACAGTGAAGGTAGAGGGAACACTGGGGTGGGGGCGCTAAAAGATAAGGGAGAGGAACATATGGGGGGTGGGGTCCTACCGCACATATTTACACACAAACACTCTGCATCCACTACCCACACTGCATCCACTACACACACTGCATTTACTAATCAAATACTCTCACTGCATCCACTACACATACAAATATAAATATTCTTGAAAACATTAAAAAAAATCTGACTGGCATGTATATTTTGTGCATTTACCACTTAAAGGACCACTATAGTGCCAGGAAAACACTCGTTTTCCTGGCACTATAGTGCCCTGAGGGTGCCCCCACCCTCAGGGCCCCCCTCCCGCTGGGCTCTAGAGGGTGGATGGGGTTAAACTTGCCTCTTTCTCCAGCGCCGGACGGGGAACTCTCCTCCTCCATAGCAACGTCATCGGCTAAATGCGCATGCAGGAGCCGCGCGCGCATTCAGCCAGTCAATGTGAAAGCATTATCAATGCTTTCCTGTGGACGCTGGCGTCTTCTCACTGTGAAAATCACAGTGAGAAGCGCCTCTAGCGGCTGTCTATGTTTATATAAGAAAGGGTTAATCCTAGCTGGATCTGGCACCTAGACCACTTCATTAAGCTGAAGTGGTCTGGGTGCCTATAGTGGTCCTTTTAATAAAAAAATTGCAAAAAATAAATCTTTCTCGAAACGGTAAATGTACAGAATATCGGTAAGCTATTGGCCTGAAAGTTCACAGATTATCAGTATCTGTTCTAAAAAATCAATATCGGTTGATCCCTAATAGTCTTTATGTGATTCTGGTGACTATAGTGTCCCTTTAAGCTTTAACCTGTGCACCTAGCGAAAATTTACAGAGAAGATGAGAAATTCAACAATAAATATAATATAATATATATCCAGAATCCCTTGCAGTAGTGAGAGCACTGTTAAAGTAAGATTTCTGTGGTAAAAGCAAGTCTGATGGCTTGCGTGGTGTGTGTATTTGTGTTTAACATTGCATTAACATTTCCCCACCACAACTTAGTGTGTGTGTGTGTGTGTATGTATGTGTGTGTATATATATATATATATATGTATATATATATATATATATATATATATATATATATATATATATATATATATATATATATATATATATATATATATATATATATATATATATCTCTAAACACCCTACATAGCACAATGGCTTATGGGGCTGGCATAGATTTTTTTCCAGGGCTGCTTCGTATCCCCAGTCCGGCCCTGTGCAGTTGGTCAGGTCTGGGTTCAGCAACATTATGTGCACAAAGAATGAGGTAAGCTGACTACCTTAATATACTGAATGACCAGGTTATTCCATCAATGGATTTTTTTCTTCCCTGGTGGCACGAGCATATTCCAAGATGACAATGCCAGGATTCATCGGGCTCAAATTGTGAAAGAGTGGTTCAGGAGGCATGATACTTCACGTTCAGAGTCCAGATCTTAACCCCATTGAGAATCTTTGGGATGTGCTGGAGAAGGCTTTGCACAGTGGTCCGACTCTCCCATCATCAATACAAGATCTTGTTAATATCACTAAGCGGAAATAAATCTTGTGACATTGCAGAAGCTTATTGAAACAATGCCACAGCGAATGCGTGCCGCAATCAAAGCTAAAGGTGCTCCAAAGAAATATTATAGCGTGTTACCTTTTTTGTTTGGCCAGGCAGTGTGTGTGTGTGTGTGTGTGTGTGTGTGTGTGTATATATATATATATATATATATATATATATATATATATATATATATATATAATAGGATGATAGCTTGGCACTCTCGTTACCAGGATTTAAAGTTCAACTGCCTGGGTGCAATCCAGATGCGTCCAATATATAAACAGAAGAAATCCAGGATGCACACTCAGGTCTTTGTAAAGTGCGATGTGATTTAATTAATAAATAGGCATACAGCAAACAAAATCGATGTTTCGACCCCAGCGGGTCTTAACATCGATTTTGTTTGCTGTATGCCTAATTATTAATTAAATCACATCGCACTTTACAAAGACCTGAGTGTGCATCCTGGATTTCTTCTGTATGTGTATGTATGTGTGTGTGTGTGTGTATATGTATGTGTGTGTATATATATATATATATATATATATATAACAAAAATTAATATAAAAGGAGCACTCACAGGTCTTCATCTGAATACTAATTTATTCCAAGGTGCAAATTACATGTGCAATCGACTTTCGACCCTCACAGGTTCCCTCCTGGCACCATTCACTGCCAGGAGGGAACCCTCCACTCCCCAGTGGTATTTCACCAAACATTTTCTCAACCTTTTTGCCACCAGTGCAAGTCTCCTCCTCTCTGCTAGTACTGCAAATGGTATATCACCATATATTGCCAATATGTTGCCTGTCCCTTGTTGCTATGTCCCTTGCGATTGCTATAGTGTCTCTGGGGACTTAGCTAGGCACTGCGGCGGACTTTCTCACTCGGAACATGGAGGTGATTTGCGGGGGGTCTATGCACCCCTTAACTCCCATAGATGTAATCAAGTCTCTTGTGAGCTGTTCATCTTCTACCGATTCTGGGATTCCTCAGATGCGTATGTTATGGCGTCTATGCCTTGTCTCCAGCGATGTCATCACTCGGCTCATTTGTTGGATTAGTGAGAAGAGTCCATCTACTTGCTTCTTGGCTGCCTTGATTTGGTTGTCTCTTGTAGCCTCTCTTGCCTCCACTGCCTTTACTTTCTGTTGGATTACACCCATTTCAGTTTTTGTTTCCAATGGGTCCTATTTCGAGACCTTCCTAAGGTCTGTTAGTAGGCTCTTTATGTCTCCTTTTGTTGATAACATACGCATCTGAGGAATCCTCATCTGATTCAAAGTGCAGGTAAACTCCACTCGGGGTAGGTGAGGCAATAGACTCCTCTCCCTTCTTGGAGTCCTCGGAGGCCTCCAGTTCATTTTGAGTTTTGGGCGCCCTCTTAGCTGGTGGTTGCGGTGCAGGCCTTTCAAAAGAAAACTTATTATCTGGCAGACGGGGAATTTTTGGGCTATGGCTCTTTTTTTGCGCTCTATTGCAATTTTTGCACCCTATTGTGTCGTCTGGGGGGGTACTGGTAAGTATTTGCTTGGTAAACAAAAATTTTTTGCGGCTTTTGTCTCTATTTTGTGGGACCTTAGCAGAGCTCCATGGAAAGACGTCTGGTGCTGTTCTCAGTCGGCCACTGTAACAAATCAATATTTTGGCTCACGATCCCATAAAAAATAAAATTTCCAAGGGAAAATAATTATTATTTTCTGCTTTCATTGTCTGTAATCCCCTAGAGTGCTACATATATGAGTAATAGAATAAAATGTACTATAAATGTTATATACCCTCCCCCACTTGTTAGCCTATTTAATAATGCTAATTTCCAACAAGATCCATACAGCTAGTTTTTGCTACGTAGATGATAAATGGACTGTCTAAAGTTTGTTGCTAAAAATACACTAATAAGCATTTATCCTTCAAAAAGACAAAAAAATTAAAAGAAATAATATTTGAAGTATGCTGTTATAACAAATATGTGGATGACAATGTCCCTTTGGGGTAGACATTGTAATTTGATTGATATATTGTGTTAATGTGGATGTATAGAGGAATTTGTCTTTATGACAAGTGATGTATGCTTGTACACATCTATAATGCCTAGTCCCAGAAAGCATCCAACAAACCCATGCTGGGTGCATTGTGGTATTGCAACCACCCGTGAAGGTGAAAGTAATGTATACTGAATAGCTGTAGTTTTAGAGAACATTTATATTCTATGTCAGTGGTATATTGTTAAAAGATGCAAAGTATTGTCCAAAAATCACATTTTAACTAACATAATGCATATATTATATATACCAATTTTGATATTATATAGTACAGGTTTTGCTCAGTGTGCATAGAGCACTCCCAGCCTATCTCCTGCACCCAACTTCCACATTTAAGCCAGCAGGAGGAGGATGGGTGCTGTTGGGAGCTCTTTGGGGTGTAAGCACTCCTAAACTATTTATCTACTTAAGGTAAGACAGTGCCCAGGACCTCCAAGCACCATAATCATTTTAAATTAGTTGAGTGTTCCTTTAACAATTTTGCCCTTCATTTTGCTATCCAAATTTTAATTTATTACAGTTGGAAGTGTCATGATTAATCCTGTTTGATAATGGTACAACATACTTTGAAAGGAAGAGATCAGAAAAAAAATGCATTACTCTAAAGAAGCACAAGAGATCACACTGTTCTCAAACTGCTTATGATGTAATAGTGCATGGCGTGATACTTGAACTCTTGCATGTGGTGTTTTTAAATTATTTTTTTATTTTTTTATTCTATTCAGACATAAACTAGAGCATGCCAAATGACTCAAAATTTAAAGTAGGATAAAAAGATGGGGATCCAAAAAAAAAGATAATGTCCTGCGCTCGTTATTTTTTCAGTTGATATCCCTTTATTTGAAACCGATAAACAGCAACATTTGATTATGCATCGTATAGTCAAACATTGCTGTTTATGGTTTGCAAATAAAGGGATATCTTAGCTGGAAATTACCTTCTTTTTGGATTCTGTAAGCTGGAGCACGAGTCCTTGCACCTTTCATCCAAATTTGATTTAATTCTGCAAACCCCCTTTCACACTCACATTGCATTGTAAAAAGGATCCCATGACATCAAGATGAAAACTTTCCTTTGCATGCATATGTGGTAGGAATGTACATGAAAACACTACAAGCGCTGTCCCTATGTAGCTAATTTTTATATTAATTAACTTTCTCTCAAACACTGTGCTGTAGCCTGAAAACTTTAAGTATTTGTATTAATTTATATTTCTATATTCACATGTCCACAAAAAGTTACCCAACCATTGTTTTCTGTGAAATAAATTAGATTTGACAAATGTAGTGAAATAGCCTCCAAGATAAGCGCTTATGCTGTTAACATTTTATTTTATTGCTATGTGGCAATTTTTATATAACTGGTGTTGTGCTTGTTATTTAAGAGTCTTTTTTGTTTGTTTTGTTTTTTTCAATTTAAGAAATAGTCACAAAGAATGATCTGGTTTGGGATGTTTAGCCTATGTAGAAATTGTACATGTTCCAAATAACATAAAACGGTCCTTGTCCTCATGGGAAACAAGTCTCTTAGATATTCTTACACATGATAATGGTCTCCAACGGTATTTTAATTTTTAAAAAATTTTTTTTATATAATTCTCTTTATTATAGTGTGTGTGTGTGCTAACTTTTTTTTTTTAACATCTGTCTCCCTTACAGGCATTTGAAGAAAGCCACCTAGCTTCCCTTGATCCAATTATTCAGTTTAATTCCTGGTTCCAAGAGGTCGCTCAATGTTCAGGCATTGCAGAGCCAAATGCAATGTGTCTGGCCACAGCCACCAGGTGCTGTTTCATCACTTTTTATTTCATTTTTAATATCCACTTGCCTACCTACTCTCTTACATTTCAAGCCAGCTTAAGCTAGTATCATTTTCCTTCCTGAATCATTGCTTCTGCTCATCTCTTACTTTTATTTTCAATTTTCTTTCAGGGATGGGAAACCGTCAGCCCGCATGGTCCTCCTGAAAGGATTTGGTTCAGATGGCTTTCGATTTTACACAAACAGAGGAAGTAGGAAAGGAATAGAGCTGGTAAGAATATCTGCCATCTAAACTGCAGAGTGCATATATATACATGCTGTACTGATATCGGAAAAGCAAGAAAGAGTTTTTTCCATTTTCTCGGTTCTATAATAATGAGGATATGTACAGTACACCAATAATCCTTTAGAGGAGTAGTAAGATAATTAAAACTATAGGTTTGTATTTTATAAGACTTGCAGATTCCTCTGATAATTAGGATGTCTTGAGAATAGTACATATAATAGTAAAATGTATCAGGGAGCACAACAATAGATGTATAATCTAGTGCTCTAGTAAACATTAATAAGTAATATTAGTATATAAAGTAATAAAACATATAGACAAAGACAGGCCACTATTAAAAGGAAAGAACACCTATTGCACCATTTTAAGGGCTTATCCCCCTTCCTTACATCTAAAGGGCTAGTAGGGAATGATACTAGACAAACAAAAGTCTGAATAGTGCAGCCCACAGAGTCCTCACAAAAAGTCGTCTATCTGCAAGATGTAACTCCAAAGTGGAACCTCAATCAGGTACCTGGCTATTGTGGAGAAAGAGCGCCATGCAAGATTGAGAAGGTCATGCATTTGAAAAGAGGATTTCGAAATAATCAACTTGTGCTTGACTAGCCTACTACTCTGTAGGGGGCTGCAACATCTGGATGTTGCCAGGCGTATCCTGTAGGATAATGTCAAGTGGTTTCACCTGGTTCCATTCCTATTTCAGAGCCCTCTATTCAGACTTTTGTTTGTCTAGTATCTTTCAGTACTGGAATCTCTACTTTAGTTGTTAGGAAGGTGGGTAAGCCCCCTAAATGGTGCATTAGTCATTCTTTATTTTGTGTTTTTTCTTATACTCATATTAGTTATTATTGCTTAACAAAGCCTTATATTACACATCTGTTGTTGTGTTCCCTGATACCTTTTAATTGTTATATGTACTATAATAATGGGACATTATAATAACACCAACTATAATAACTGTACGCAATCTAATATCACCTCTGAAAATCTTACTGTGTGTGAGAGGTCATCTGTCCTAATTCCAGTTCTACTGGATTTTTAGCTAATAAAAACAGTATGATACACCATTCCTTTGATTCCTTCAGTGAGAGAGATTTTCCTCAATGCCCCTGCAGAGAAAATAAGGCCCAGGCTTTATTTACCTCCTGTAGACTGTAAGCACATTTGAGCAGGGTCCTCTTCACCCTATCGTTCTTGTAAGTTTTTTTGTAATTGTCTTATTTATTGTAAAATCTTCCCCTTTTATAATATTGTAAAGAGCTACGGAATCTGTTGGTGCTATATAAATGTCAATAATAATAATAGTAGTTTATTGGGGTGCGGTAAGGGTAGGGATGGCTAGTTTGGCTTCTAGGTCAGGGCTAGAATAGTTAGCATCTCATACCCCCACCAGATGACAATAAAATGAGGATGTGATTTTGACACTGGCTGGTTCCAGGTGGTGATACAGAAAGAACGTGAAGTTAGATATTCACTGCAAATGTAATCATTGACATCTAATCAATACAGATCGCTAACAAGGACATGCTAGGCCATAATGACTTTTTAAAGTTCCTGGCAGCTAATGAAGATGCCACTCAGCGATCAATACTCCCCCTACTCCAATGACTTATTCCAGCAGCAATTTTCTTATTACCTGTAATTACTGTGTGGGACTTACTGCATGGTGATGGTTTCTGCAAAGCAGCACTGGAGAGAAGGCCCTAAGTCTGTCTCATTCAAACTCTGCCTGACGGTCTAAGGTTTGCAGGAGGTGTAAGCTCTCCTCACTCACTGTGTTATATGGAGAGGCAGTGCCAACAACACTCCTCATTTATAGAAACGTGATATCATGTTTGCCTAATAATAATAATTTACCAATTCCTGAATTGGGAATTGAATTGTTGATATGTAATTACACTTGCTAGGTTAAATAACAAAAACATCATTTTTGTCTGGTCACACAATGCAAATCAGATGCTAATTCACCTGTAGTCTGTGAATTTGCATATATATTTAGTTTACACACAGATGGGTTAAAAATCGTTGCAGTCGGTTCATTTATCAGCATCCATGTTGCAAACAAATTTTTATCCTAGTATGTAAAGTGAGAGGATGATTATTTAAAGGATGATTCTGAGAATAGAATTCTGAGTTCTGCGTTGGGAAAATTGAGTAGGATACATATGCTCTTGAAACAGTGCGGGACCATCATTTTTACTTTTGCTATATACTGGACTATGGATTCGGAGGCCAATTGCACCCTTATACGACAAAGAAAGTATATGAGCGCTCACCATGACTATTATTTTTTTATTGAAACACTGCTCTAACAGCTGAGCTCATTACATTCCAGATTATTCACTTGTATCTCAAGTAGACCATTCATAGTACAAAATGTAGCTATGTAGTGCTACAGACAACTTGAGTAAATCGCAGCACACACAAAAAAAAAGTATAAAAATAGTAAGACTCAAGGATTACAAAGTAAACATTGAAAGGAATGAAAACCAAGTTTTTATACAAATAAGCTCTTTGGCAGGCTTAGGACAACACCTTACAGAATAAAAATGGTAAGGGGCATGTTAACTTTTCATGCTGAAAAGGTAATCTTAACCCAGTTGTGTGTAATGAGTTTATTAGTGAAGAATGAATTAAAGGGATAATCGAACATTAAAAATAAATAGATTTGTTTTTAATGTTAATGCATTTAGCATGTTATCTTATTCCCAATCTAGTACTTTTATAGAGAAGCATTAGGGACCTACCAGCATGCTTACCAGTCACCATATTCAGCCAATCAGTTGCTTCTCATGAGAAGCATTTACAACATTTTGCAAGACTATGCTATGCTTGATAAGAACAAATTTGAAGACTTTCAATTATTTAAATGTGCCTTTGGTGACTGTCTAGATGACAAACATGACAAACACTAGGAAGTGCCTCTCGTGACTTGCTGATTGACATCCTCTAGAGGCACATTGACTGAAAAATTTAAACATTTCCATGTATCACTGTTTACAATTGTCAGACTGCTGAGACAGAGTCTTAGCACCAAAATCACATTATTATTATTATTATTATTATTTTATTATTTATATAGCGCCTGCAAATTCCATAGCGCTGTACAATGGGTGGACTAACAGACACATAATTGTAACCAGACAAATGGAAGCACAGGAACAGAGGTTTTGAGAGCCCTGCTCAATGAGCTTACATGCTAAAGGGAGTGGGGTATAGTGACACAGAGGGTATAAGTAGGGGTAATGAAATAGGTTGCTAGAAAAGTATTCACTGAGAACTTAGTAGGATATTTTTGACAATTGCAGGAGAGGAGTCATGGGGGCGGTGAAAACCGTTAACAGTTTAGATGATATGCTGTCCTAAGGAGTGTGTTTTCAAAGATGTTTTTGAAGAAGTGGAGACTGGGTGGTGAAAGTCTAACGGAGAAGGGAAGGGAGTTCCGCAGAAAAGGTGCAGCCCTGGAGAAGACACTTTAAGCTTTGTTGCTTAAAGTGTCCATTTAGCCGACCAGATATTTGTAATGTTATATAGCAGAGGATGTCAGTATGTATAATGGTCACTACCTGGACTTTAGGGTTTGAAACCTGACTTATTGCAGGCAGCTCATTAGGTTACAATAATTTCTAGCTCAGAGCAAGAAGACATACAACATATTTTGCATTCAGCCCTACTTCAATGCACTTTTGTTTTTAAAGTTATCACCCACACTGAGATGACATCTGGCCCTATGCCCCACTTGGCAGCAAGCCTCTGATTGTCAAAGTGAACTGGTGTACAGCTACCAATTTTGCCATCTGAATACCTAAATTGTGAAATCATCAGTTGCGTAAATATGTTCAGGATTCCACTTCTGCATATTCTATTGGTAAGAATTTATAATTGTATCACAGGTATACTTGATGTATTTATGTTTTAATGAATATTTTGCATCACTTGTTGGTTTTTCTCTGTGTATATTTCAGAGTTGTGTGTTTGTCTCTGCAGGAAGAAAACCCTGTTGCCTCTCTTCTCTTTTTCTGGGAGCCCTTGAATCGACAGGTAAAATGATTTTTGTTTCATCAGTTGTTTTATTTGACCTGATGAAGATCCTTGCCTCGTCTGTTAATTTGACTTAATAATAATGCACACACTTGTATGTATCTAGCCTAATTGCTTTGTCTAAAGTATCAATCTCCATGTTTGTTTTTGATCATGTCAATGCAAGGATTGCTTCTGTGTGTGGCTGGATTTTCCTTATTTATGCCTTCTACAAAAAATACAAGAAGGCTGGGTAGTAGGGACTGGTGAAGAGATGAGGGAAAATAACGCAATCTTGGGGTTCTGGAGATACTTATAGATGATTCCACCTTCAGTATGGTTATGGTTCCACTTTATGGTTTATTATGAGGTACATACAAGATCCAGTAAACTCACTCACAAAATGCAATAGTGTTTTGTTTTGTTTTTATCAAACTTTACATTTTGAGGTTGGTGTTTAGTGAGTAAGTCATTGTATGAATTGGCCCCAGCAGGACCCTTCTAATAGAGGTGTGTGTGTGTGTGTGTGTTTGTGTTCCTACTACCCATAATTTTCTTTTCCTATTCATAGGTGACACCAACCTCTCCTACCCCTGCCAATGCTCCCTCCCCCCAATCCTGCATCCTCCTCTGTTTTATACTTACTCACATCCACTATACCACCAGTAAAGTCCAGTACCGCCTGAGGTCGTGGCTGCAGCATATGCTTCCGAGTGGGCCCTCTAAAGTACAAACGGGATAACTCTCGCGGGGTCCCAGATGTGTGCTGTTGTCATGGCACTGCTTGTTCCAGGCTGGGTTAGCAAATCTCGTGGAAGGCAGAGGGTCTGAGAGATGGCTGCAGCTTCGTTCAGGTCTCGGACAGTGTGGGCAGAGTCCTCTTTCGATATGTGGAGTAGCCGCGGTTATCTCCAGCGGTATGGAATATTGTGAGTGCGTAGCAGTGTGGTGAAGGGTTGTAGGGTTTTCCTCCATTTCAGGGTGTCCCCAGATAGGTTGGCGTAAAACGTGAGCACCATGTTCTCAAAAGAGAGCGGAGAAGCTCCCTTAATTGCTGCCTGTACTGCTGCCTTCTCCCTACCATTGCTGAATGTGACCACCAAATCTCTAGAAGCGGTCTCTGGAGCTTTCCGAGGCTTCGGGATTCTGAGTATCCCATCGAACCTGATGCTCTTAGCTTGTTTCAGCTCATTAAATGCGGGAGCTCCGCAGCTGGGATCTCCTCTGGGATACCTCAGACCTTGAGGTTATTTTGGCGTCTGGCATCCTCCATCAGTGCAAAGCGGTGTTTGAAGGCTGTTTGCTGTGCCTTTAGAGTCTGCACTTCGTTGGAGAGAGTTGTAAGTTTTTGAGCTTTGTCTGCTGCTGCTGTCTCCACTGTCCCCAATCTGCTCACCAAGCCAGTTAGTTTAGCCAGAAGAGAGGCCATGTCAGCCTGTAAGGTGAGCTGGAGGCCATGTAGCAGCTCCTTCAGAGTGGCATTTGTCACTGGATTAGAGTCTGCATTCTGTGGGGCTGTTGGAAGGGGAGGTTGGTTGGCAGCACCCATCCGAAGCATCGACTCCTCTGAAGAGTGTGAAAACCCATCTATGACTGCGGCCATCTTGGGCCTGCATGCTCTGTGTGTTTGTCTGAAGAGGTCTTCGATATTCGTGCCCGATCGGGTTTCTGTTTTTTTTCAGCTTACATCCCATTGCTGCTGGCTGCACCGGTATCCTGTCTATCGGACGGTGAAAACGGCTTGGAATTGCTAAAATACAGTGGCAATATACGGCGCTCGGCTGAAATGCGGCTGGTTCGTTCAGCAGCTTGGCCCCACCCCTACAAGTTACAAAATTTGTATCTGTTTTTTACATCTGCCTTACTGGACTCATACGGCTACAATCTCTACACTTCTCACTGATTGTCGGGGGTAGTTGCAAGCCGCAGCAAAATCGGGGTGATCTCACGCTGCCTACACTAGGGGTGCCATGGAGAATCCGCCAATACCTCTCTTGAAACCCTCCGATGCCGGGGAGATAGGGGGAGCTCGCTGAGGCCTAAGGGCGACGGGACAGGGGAAGGACAGCCGACTTCCCCGATCTCAAGTTTGCCATGCGAGCCACCCTCGCTCCAACCCCTCCCACTCCCTTTAGACCGGCGAGGGTTATCCCAGTCCCTGCTGGGCTGACTCTCGCAATCCTGAAGCATTTTAGGACAGCTCCTGCAACCACAGAGTGCATACCCACGCATGCCTAACTCTGCCCTTCGCTGCAGAAAGCAACAATACGATGTGCCCCCTGCAGAGACTGGAGGCAATATTCCAGAATTTCTGGGTCCAACTAGAAAGGGGACTAGTGACAACCTCGCTGCGGCATACAGTTCAAGCTCGCAGACAAACCAGCCTACCTGACAGGCTGCCCTAGGGACACTAGTTTCGGCAGCATCCTGTCCCTCTCCCAGCCACACACCCAAGCCGTGGATTACCAGGGACTCTACCCCTTTCCAACTCACGAGAAGGCGGAGGGTTACACTCCAACAGCTGCGACGGCACAGAGCCATGCTTCCTCACCCGCGGCGGCGGGAAACCACGCTCCAACACAGACGGCAACAGGGTGCCGTGCCCCAACTTCTGCTCCAGCAGAAAACTGCAAGCCACCTGCACCAGCAATGGCATATGTGGACTTTTCCCACCCGGACTTTCAGCACCTGAACCAGTAAAATAGACCTACAAGTCCGAAGTGATGGGGCCCTAATCCGACAAAGCCAGACCACAACCCCCTACGGGCTGCCATATTCCACACTGGGCCTACCTATAATGGGAGTGGGCTGACGCCTTAACCTCAATGAAAACAGGCTTAATACCCATGCATTTAACCCAGTGAGAGACTCAAAAGCAATACTGTCATGCTTTAAGTCATCCCTCCTTATTTTGTTACTCAACCACCCGCTTATTGCTGGTATTTTTTTATTACTATATGCAACCCACTTGGAGCTAGATCGGCACCAATAGCATTTATATTGCTAGACTAGCCTGCTTCTTATTTGCCTAATCTTAATTTAATTTATTGCCACCTACAGTTTTAGGCGTAAGCATCCGTAACCATATAGAGATTCCTTTAACTAGGAATGTATGTACAAAGCCTGTAACACAACACGCAGTTAAAGCACAGTGTAGCATGATACCTGACTCGCCTCAAAATCCCTTATAACAAGACAGGCACATCACTATTAACACTAGTGGTTTAATATGCATTGTTATCTTAATATATCTGCACTAGACTTAAATCTAAACTAGCAAAACATTGGTGCCCTATTTGCATGCCATGACACTGTTTACCCTGTTTGTTTTATTTGTGTGTGCCTGCTGTTGTGGCAACACATGCCAGTTTGTATCCCTACGCACCTAAAAAAACAGATAAAAAAAAAAAAAAAGAATACAACCAGAAAAATACAGGAAGGGATTTTCCTGGAGCATACAGAAGATTGCAGAATAAAATGCCCTAATTTACCCACAGAAGAAAACCTGATGTATTACATACGTGACCCAAATAATGTAACCATGACAATTAAAGACAAAACTTTTCAGGTATCAGTTAAAGCTAGTTTCCAGTGAGTATTTTATGTGGAGTATTCTGCTGGCTAACTTTTATTATCCTCTCGTAGAGCTGTTCTATTAAACTAAGCTAATTTATGATGGCTATTTTAAACCACATGTTAAGGTACAATGTGCTATCACATCAGCCAGACCACCACACTTCTTAAACAGTCACCTTTGAAATGAATGGGTTATCAGAAAGAGGAATGTTTTTTAAAAAAAAGTTGAACTTTGTTTTATTTATGTCTGGCCCTGAAGCAAGTACTGAAGTTTGAATAGACATGTAATAAAGATATTATCATATATATCTTAAAGATATCATGAGGATCATAAATACCCTTCATCTATGGATCGCAACTAAATATGATCACAATCGTTTTAAAGTATACTTTTATCCTTGTTTTTTTAATTAATATTTTCAAAACTTCATTGAGTGCAAAATAGCAGCAAACTGTTTATAAGCAAGAATGAACAACAGACGGTACAGAATAAGATGCACCCATAGGCATCATGCACACTGGTTTTGAAATTTCCATCACTAGAAGTATATGGTTCTCATGAGGTTTTGCTTTCATTTAGGTTCGGATTGAGGGTTCTGTGGAGCAGCTTTCAGATGAGGAATCTGAAAAATATTTTCACTCTCGTCCCAAAAGTAGCCAGATTGGAGCAGCTGTGAGCAGACAGAGTCAAGTTATTCCTGACAGAGAGGTTTGTGGGAAACGTAATACAGGTTCTATAAGTCATTGTTTTCCAAGACACCACCTGTCACCATATTTACTTACAGATACCCCTCTCTCTTCATTTTATCAGGTGCTCTAGTATCTCCTTCTACATAGACTCATATAGTCACATTTCATTGCATTCTCTCAGATACTCATACTTCTTCTTCTGCAGTCACCCAGTCACTTTCCTATGTTCCGTATACCATAAGGTTGTCTTTAGTCTCTCTGCATATGTCCAAATACAGTCACTGCTCCCTCTACATACTCCAGTGCACCACTAAGATTCTCACATATTCTCAAACTGGCACCCTGTGTTACACACTGTTTTGCAAGTAATTTTGTTTTGCTTTTTTTTTTTTTTTTTTTAATGAAGTTAGTAATAATGTATGTTTGCAGCACTTTAAAATCATTAAGATCTTCCACCATTACATAAGTATCACAGATGCCTTTACATCATCAATAGTCACATACTTACTGACGTGACACGCTTCTCTTTTGCTTTTTTTTCTGTCAAAATTAAATAGATTCCCCTTACAGAATGAACACCAATTCCCCTCCCCCCCCCATCGTGCAATTTCAAATTTCTTGTACATTACATAACTTGTTTACCACAGTATCTGCGCACAAAGAATGCTGAGCTAGAGGAGGAGTACAAGGAGAAAGAAGTGCCCAGACCTCCTGAGTGGTGAGTTTAACAATTGTTTTATTGGGCTGGAAATCTCCTTTAGAGATACTAATGTGTTCCCCACTTATTCCTCAGGGGAGGTTACATTATTCGCCCATCTGTCATGGAATTTTGGCAGGGACAGACCAATCGTCTGCATGATCGTATTGTTTTTCGCCGCCAAAACGGAGAAGAGCACAGTCCCTGGACACACAAAGGGGAAGGGGGTTGGGTTTATGAGCGTCTTGCTCCATAATGTCATGGATACATAAGTTATTCAACTTATTCCATTGATGACCATTTTGAGAGATTCCACTGTGCCCATCGCTGATGTGTCTACCTCGAAATGATTGTGTTTGATTGTGCTGTACAGTGAATATACACCTCATCAACTCCTCTGTGGGCTGAGTCTTGGTGGTGCCTCACGTGATGTGAGCCAATGTGCCATAACCACTATTGTACGTGACATTGGCCCTGTATCTCCACCCTCATATTGTGCCGTTGAGAATGTACTTTAAACTGACATGGTGTAATTAGATGTTATGGTATGTGAATGGATAAGTGCAGTCGGTTTATATAGGGAACAGATATCTAAAAGATAAAGGTTATATTGAATAAGCTTTGGTAAACCAACTGTTAAAAAAAACAAAACACTTGTTACATAGAGGAACTTGTTAAAATAAATGGAGAACACAATATTGTGTGTTGCCTTTCTATTATTTTTTTTACCTTTGAACAGAATGTGGTCTGGCTTTTAATAGCTTATATATTAACATTACTGTGTATTGCCGAGGTAGCCAAAATATATTCTTCAGCGGTGCAGAACTATAACTCTCTTCATGTTTTTGAAGTTTTAAGGCCAGCAAAGAATCATGGGTGTTGTAGTTCTATAATAGGTGAGCATGCGTAGCATTATTTTTACCCACTATGGTGTACTGATATTACAAGGTACACAACACTTAAGGGACACCCCACATCATCATGGTCATTCACTAAATTGAGAGTTTAAAGTAGCTTTTAAAAAAAAATTCACATTTAAGGGCAAAGTAACCAAATTGGACACATAGCTGACTCTCAGGAGTATTAACTAAAGTGAGAATTCAAAGTGAATTTCAAATTCAAGGTAAAAATAGCTGATCAGTAATCATTCTCTTGCTATGTTTCCTGTTCAGCTACATTGACCTTCCATTTGGAATTCACATTAAATTCTCACTTTAGTGATTAACCCTACATGTATATTGGCAAAGGGATACATTTACCATCAGAATACCTGTCCTCGTTATGGAGCCTGTAAGCCATAATATTAGTAATTTGATTTGGACAATAAAAGCTAGTGCATTTTTTCCAAATGATGCATTAGTAGATGGATTAAAAGAACTACATTTACAAGACAAGCTAGGTATATCTGGCCCGAATGTAAAAATAAAGAAATAACAAGTTGAAGGGTTTGTTTTTTGGTTTTTTTTGTTATGTTTGTGCTGCAGATAAATCCCAGAAGATTATTATCTCCAATACATACTGATTTCACGTGAACACTTAGATACTTTACATTAACATTCTATGGAGAACTACATTAAACTACAGAGAGAAACTGCAGGTGGCGTGACCTTTGATCTCTAAATCACTGTCATTTAGGAAACATGACAACTGAATAGAGAGACTGAATATGGCAGTCACGTGTTGAGAGAATGAGTCACTGGTAACACCTTGTACAAACAGAGAAGGTAGAATGTGGCAGTAATAAAGCTCTCTGAGGGAGCGGCTGCACCAGTGACCTAGCAGTCAAATGTGACAAAATAGGCCACAAAAGAAGGTTCACAAAGGACTATACAGAAACTTAAACTAAGAAGAAGATGGCAAGCAGATTTCAATGACTGAGAACGCAAACATACAGAGGGAATATATATAATATTATTGTTTACTAGTAAAGGGGCACCGCAGGCTTCAGTTGACAAATGTATTTTTATTGTTACATAGGTAATGCCACATATGGGCAGGTAATGGTCACACATAATGTTCCTGCAGTTGCTGAAAATTCCGAGGCATTGCAACTTCTCCAATCAGCTAACACCAATCCACATGAGAACTCATGCAATCTTGATGCTTTTAGAAACTTCAATGGCAGTACAGAATTTATTACACATGAGTGATCTATGGTAACACCAGAGGTCTTTTGGAGTTGCCCTCTAGATGTCAGCTTTCTACTGTGAGAACCCTGCAGTACAGACTCTCAGGATAGTAAAAGTACTTTAACAGACATAGGGAAGCTTATAGCTGATTTGATCATTTTTTATTTGATCTGAATTTATATCGGGTATTGAACCTTTAAGAACCAATATTCCTCAATGCGAAATTCCATTTCTGATGTCAAGAACTTTATTATCAGCCTGAAGTGGCACATTCCAGTCAATTGTTTTTGTTGTTTATAGTACAGAAGCGAATGTAAAATAATTATGCTAAGAATAACACCAATGAGTCCATTTGGCCAAAATATGGCCACTCTATGACTTTAATGACTTCATAGAAAAGAAATGGAATGGATTTTTAACCTTGACACCATAACCCCCAAAGGATTAAATGTGTACTTTGAAATTACTCATTCTATATAAAAATATTTAATAAATCATTTTTTATATACATATATTTTATAATTTTACCCTCTTCGAAATGCTTACCATCTAGTCTTTCTAGAAAATATAAAGATATTTTCTTTACTAATCCCCATTATCTCCCATATTTTTCTCTTCTGAAATGTTTTTATAGATATACATAGTATTGTGTTTAATTATGTGTTGGATATCGATCTCTATTTACAGGTATCTTGTTTAGATCATTTTAGATATTTTTAATATGTGTAAATGGACTTGTTTATGGACTATGTCAGAATTAAGGGCAGACTTTATGATCTTACCTTAATTAAGATGGCGTCCGGAAACGCTACAGAAGAACGCGTGATATCAGGTCGGGACACCGAGCGTCATGACAAAAGAGGCAGAAATGGCACGTAGATGCAAAATGAACTGGGAAGTCCGAAAAAGCGTGCTAAAATTAAACGGAAAGCCGTGCAAATGACGGAATAAACGTGGAAACAAAGAGATGAACCTTATGCACTTTGAAAAAGACCTGCTGAAGGTTGAAATGCGTTAGTGCTGCTGTTTTACATAAGTTTTATACTCTTTTTAACCATTTTCTGGAAATACTCTTTCCCTAAATAAATTGTTTTATACCTGATCTAGTTTGGATCATTGAGGTGGTCGAAAAGGATTTGGAGGAATAATTCCTGTTGGGAGCAGAGAGCCTGAGTTTAATACCTGTAAAGAGCGCTGACAGTCTGAGCCTGCTAACTAATAGGCTCAGCAACATGTGAGTTTGACCGATTTGTTCTTATTTATTATACTTGGATCATATATAGTACACTATGGTTTGTATTTTATGCTTTTATTACAGATTATAAGTGAAAGCATCTACTACCTCCAAGATTTAAAGTGGTAGTATTCATTGTATGTGGTGTTAGCTTTCACCTACTGTGTGATTTGTTTTAATAGACAAATCTAGCATGGATTTTAAAGATCTTCCCTGGAGCTCTCTGCAACAACCAAAGCAGCAATCGCAAGTTAATTCACTAAAGTCAGAATTTCAGCAAATTGATATTCGAACAGCAACATTTATGCAGAATAGTAAAATTTTGACAAGAGTTTTTCCCAATTCAGATTTTAGTTGGCTACAATTCAGAGTTTTGTGACTAAAACGTAGTGCGGGTTAGTAATTAATGTCACAAAATGATCCGCCTGTCTCTTAATTATCAATTTAAACTTCAAAGGATGCAGTTACCGTTTTACATATATGCAGCGTTTTAGTGATGCATTGTACCAGGATATGATTCAGTGGCTTAACATAATGAGTTACAGAGGGTGCATTTGTGACTGAGCCCTAAATCCCTGGGGCCCTTTTCTATTTATTTATTTATTTAAACATACTTTCCTGTGGTGTATAGCATTCCATTACAGTAGCATTGTGGGGATGACATTAACTACACTTCTCAAAAAAAATAAAGGGAACACAAAAATAACACATACTAGATCTGAATGAATTAAATATTCTTCTGAAATACTTTGTTCTTTACATAGTTGAATGTGCTGACAACAAAATCACACAAAATGAAAAAAAAAAATGGAAATCAAATTTTTCAACCCATGGTCTGGATTTGGAGTCACACTCAAAATTAAAGTGGAAAAACACACTACAGGCTGATCCAACTTTGATGTAATGTCCTTAAAACAAGTCAAAATGAGGCTCAGTAGTGTGTGTGGCCTCCACGTGCCTGTATGACCTCCCTACAACGCCTGTGCATGCTCCTGATGAGGTGGCGGATGGTCTCCTGAGGGATCTCCTCCCAGACCTGAACTAAAGCATCTGCCAACTCCTGGACAGTCTGTGGTGCAATGTGACGTTGGTGAATGGAGCGAGACATGATTTCCCAGATGTGCTCAATTGGATTCAGGTTTGGGGAACGGGCAGGCCAGTCCATAGCATCAATGCCTTCGTCTTGCAGGAACTGCTGATACACTTCAGCCACATGAGGTCTAGCATTGTCTTGCATTAAGAGGAACCCAGGGCCAACCGCACCAGCATATGGTCTCACAAGGGGTCTGAGGATCTCATCTCGGTACCTAATGGCAGTCAGGCTACCTCTGGCAAGCACAAAATGCCACCCCACACCATTACTGACCCACTGCCAAACCGGTCATGCTGGAATATGTTTCAGGCAGCAGAACTTTCTCCACGGCGTCTCCAGATTCTGTCACGTCTGTCACATGTGCTCAGTGTGAACCTGCTTTCATCTGTGAAAAGCACAGGGCGCCAGTGGCGAATTTGCCAATCTTGGTGCTCTCTGGCAAATGCCAAACGTCCTGCACGGTGTTGGGCTGTAAGCACAACCCCTACCTTTGGACGTCGGGCCCTCATACCACCCTCATGAAGTCTGTTTCTGACCGTTTGAGCATACACATGCACATTTATTGCCTGCTGGAGGTCATTTTGCAGGGCTCTGGCAGTGCTCCTCTTGTTCCTCCTTGCACAAAGGCGGAGATAGCGGTCCTACTGCTGGGTTGTTGCCTTTCTACGGCTTCCTTCACGTCTCCTGATGTACTGGCCTGTCTCCTAGTAGCGCTTCCATGCTCTGGACACTACGCTGAAAGACACAGCAAACCTTCTTGCCACAGCACACATTGATGTGCCATCCTGGATGAGCTGCACTACCTGAGCCACTTGTGTGGGTTGTAGACTCTGTCTCATGCTACCACTAGAGTGAAAGCACCGCCAGCATTCAAAAGTGACCAAAACATCAACCAGGAAGCATAGGAACTGAGAAGTGGTCTGTGGTCACAACCTGCAGAACCACTCCTTCATTGGGGGTGTCTTGCTAATTGCCTATAATTTCCACCTGTTGTCTATCCCATTTGCACAACAGCATGTGAAATTGATTGTCACTCAGTGTTGCTTCCTAAGTGGACAGTTTGATTTCACAGAAGTGTGATTGACTTGGAGCTACATTGTGTTGTTTAAGTGTTCCCTTTATTTTTTTGAGCAGTATATAAGAAGTTCCACAATTTTTTCACAAGGATGCTCAAATGCTATTCAGTCAATTATTTGGGAAAAAAGAGGGCAAGACTATGCTACAAACTGATAAAACAATCTGATGACCGGGGAGGTATGGGTGCCCCGGACATAGAAGCTTCTTTTAGAGCCACAATATTGGTACAAACCATAGCACTACACAGTGATGAGGGTACTCTTCAGTGGGTGGACATGGAATCATACCACACTCCGAGACATGGCATGCCACCAACATCTCTCTGATTGTTTCAGAGGATCGTCCCATCACTGTCCCAATTACATCCTTGGCCATTAAGACATGGGACTCAGTCATGCATTCCCTAAAGTCGCCTACACTTTATTTGCCCTTAGCACCGATACCAGAACTCAACATGACTCCATGGCTAGAACAGGGCATTCAATACACATCACAAGTCATGAAGGGCAATAAAATAACGCCATTCCCTGAGCTACAAGCTTCCTTCCCATTACTGTGCCGCTATATCTTCTACTATCTCCAGTTTAACAGTGCCCTCTTAAACCGGTGGAACGGGGCTGGGACACACACATGACCTCATTTCCAGATCTCCATTGTATGCATTTAAGATGCTGGTCTACTCCTACCAAACCCAAAGCATTGTCTTTGTGTTACCGTGCACTCCAATCGAGAACATAGAAACATAGAATGTGACGGCAGATAAGAACCATTCGGCCCATCTAGTCTGCTTAATTTTCTAAATACTTTCTTTAGTCCCTGGCCTTATCTTATAGTTAGGATAGCCTTATGCCTATCCCACGCATGCTTAAACTCCTTTACTGTGTTAACATCTACCACTTCAGCTGGAAGACTATTCCATGCATCCTCTACCCTCTCAGTAAAGTAATACTTCCTGATATTATTTTTAAACCTTTGTCCCTCTAATTTAAGACTGTCCTCTTATTGTGGTATTTTTTTCTTCTTTTAAATATAGTCTCCTCCTTTACTATGTTGATTCCCTTTATGTATTTAAATGTTTCTATCATATCCCCCTGTCTCGTCTTTCCTCCAAGCTATACATGTTAAGATCCTTTAACCTTTCCTGGTAAGTTTTATCCCGCAATCCATGAACCAGTTTAGTAGCTCTTCTCTGAACTCTCTCTAAGGTATCAATATCCTTCTGAAGATACGGTCTCCAGTACTGTGTAGAATACTCCAAGTGAGGTCTCACCAGTGTTCTGTACAATGGCATGAGCACTTCCCTCTTTCTACTGCTAATATCTCTCCCTATACAACCAAGCATTCTGCTAGCATTTCCTGCTGCTCTATTACATTGTCTGCCTACTTTTAAGTCATCAGAAATAATCACCCCTAAATCCCTTTCCTCAGATGTTGAGGTTAGGACTCTAACAAATATTCTGTACTCTGCCCTTGGGTTTTTACGTCCAAGATGCATTATCTTGCACTTATCCACATTAAGTGTCAGTTGCCACAATTCTGACCATTTTTCTAGTTTACCTAAATCATTTGCCATTTGGCTTATCCCTCCTGGAACATCAACCCTGTTACATATCTCTATTCCTACGCCAATAGGTGTCACATCGTTTAGACCATCCCATACAGTATATGACCAGACTGTCACAGCTACATCTCTCCACTACTTTGACTAAAAAAAAAAAAAAAACACACCACACCGACCACAGCAGAAACATGAATTCTCTGTCTGCATAAAGGATTCAGACAGACAGAGATACTCCTGGAAGCTTTGCACAGTGTTGGTTAACTGATGTTATTTCCATTACTGTATTGTTCTAAAGGATATGTGATACTTTTCTTGGAATGTAAACTTTGATGTCCTCCTTAACCCCCCTCTTTTTCCTTCTTTACCCCCACCTTGCATTGAAAATATAAAATAAAGTTGGGGGGGAAAAAACTATAAGAAGCATGAAAATGTTTGATTCTGAAGCATAAACCACCCCAAATAGCAGCCACAAACATATACTACAAGTTTCATGAAGGAGGCCTAGGTGCCCCCGATATTCACAAATACTATACTGCCACCACATTAGGCCAATTAGGAGCAGCTATTTACTCATCAGAATACCCCCTATGGTATGTGCTTGAAAACGCTACTACACAGCCTTACACTTTATCACAATTGATGTGGGTCCCTCCCCACCTACACCCACACAGAATCAACCCATTGTCAACTACGAATATGATGTACCTGGTTTACAACCAAACTTCTGGTCCAAACATAAGTGGGTGGCAACCAAATTTTTGGTCCCTAGCCACCCACTTATGTTTGCACCTCTAATGAGCCTACAGTATTACACACCCGACCTACCTATTAAATCGTGGGTATGGGCGAGGTAGAAAATATAGCACAACTATATACTGACCAAGGACTACTGCCATTCCCGGAATTAGAGCAGAAATATAATTTACCCCCTAGAGAGTTGTTCACATACTTAAGGCTTAAACACATCCTGACTAAACACATATGCTGTGCAATTTTGGAAACCTGTTCTAAATAAGGATATCATGGCACTAGAAAAAGTACAGAGACAAGCTACAATTTACAATTGATAAAAGGAATGGAGCATTTTAGTTACGAAGAAAGGTTAAAAAATGTAAATCTCTTTAGTTTGGAAAAACGGCGCCTCAGTGGGATATGATAACATTATACAAATATATTTGGGGCCAGTACAAACCATTATCTGGAAATCTATTCATAAACAGGGCTATACATAGGACACAAGGTCACACATTTAGGCTGGAAGAAAGGAGATTTCATCTAAGGCAAAGAAAAGGTTTTTACAGTAAAAGCAATAAGAATATGGAATTCTCGGCCTGAAGAGGTGGTTTTATCAGAGTCCATACAGATGTTTAAACTGCAATTGGATAAATATTTGCAAAAACATAACATACAGGGATATAATTTCTAATTAGTGGGGTAATAGCTGCTTGATCCAAGGAGACATCTAACTGCTATTTTGGGGTCAAGAAGGAATTTTTTCCTAGTTTGTTGCAAAATTTGAAGCGCTTCAGACTAGGTTTTTTGCCTTCTTTTGGATCAACAGCAAAAACATATGCGAGGAAAGCTGAACTTGAGGGACGCAAGTCTCTTTTCAGCTATGTAACTATGTAATTATACAGACATTGCTTACTAATGACAGAAGTGTTAACACCCAATTATACAGGGGATTAAAGAAAGGCACAAAACCATTGGCACTCTGCTACAAAGCCTTGCTAGAACACACCAAACCCTCCAAATTCTCCTATATGCTCAAATGGGAGGAGGAACTTAACACGCAATTCTCTACCGAACAATGGCTGAGAGCACTAAGACACACAAGAGGCGACAAAATGCCTAGACCATTTTAAGAATACATACAAAATATGGATGAGGTGGTATTTGACTCCACACAGGCTACCTCATATTTTTACTAATGCAACTTCTTACTGCTGGAGATGTAAAGTACAGGTGGGGACGATCGGCCATATGTTCTGGCACTGCAGGCTAATATGCCCATTTTGGGAAAATATAAAACAGGTGATTTACAAACTAACAACTGTTCAGTATCAAACAATGCTCAAAACATATGACATTAAAGAGAGTTCATTGGTGCCTATGGCTCTGCCTCCTGGGGGTATAACAGTATTCAACCTTAGCAACACCAAGACTCACCACCCATTGCTACTCAGGGTTAATGAGAAGGCAATACCCTGAGCAACAGACATGGGCCAGCCTGTAGGCACCTGGATTTCGTGTCAAACCATTCATAAATGGTTGCACACTGAACTGTAGGATAGCACCAGGGGACTCCAAGCAACACAGTGAGATGAACTGGTTTTGCTTCCCGGAGTGTCCTATTAATATAGCCCTAAAAACCACCTTGAATCTCAGATTGGGAAAGCTTCCTCCTATACTTCCTCCTACACTGTAGTGTTTATTGTAACAGAAGAGCCATGGTACCCTTCTTTAATGAGTAGTCAAATGGTTTTAGCAGTGCTAAATCCCGCAATGGTGACTAGAAATTCACCCTGGTGACTGTGCCAGTAACTATCAGGCCTGTGTAGTAATTTTTTTTATTTTGAGCCCTTTGTTTAAGAATGGTTTGAGAGTTGCCTCTTCCTGTGGCTGCACTGAACAAACTCCTGTTCATTGATTGAAAGCATCAGTTAAGAGCTCTCAGCCAATAAACGTAAAGACCACGGGTAAACACTGCAGCGGGCTGTCGTGTTTATGGTGTTGTTTGGAGTGTTCTTTTAATTCTGGGTCATTCAATGTGAGCTTGAATTTTGAATTTTATGCCACATTAGCCAAAATTTTAAAAAATCTCCAAGTCAGCTGTGTTCTCAGTTCTGCTTTACCTAAAATATAAAAAGTTCAATGAATTCCCAACAGTTCACACTTTAGCGAATAAACCAGAGCTTGTCATCATAGATACTGAAAGGGGTAGGGAGCATTGTCCTCCTCTATATCGCTGCTTCAGATTTCTAGACCTTCCTAGCTTTGCAGTTGACCTGTTTAGCATACAGCTCCTGTCTACAGAGGTAATTCAATATCTGGCTAACAGTCTCAGCCAACTTAAAGGCACCACGTTATGTCAACGTATTAAATGTTAGTAGGAAGTTAGGATCACTATTGTTTAACAATCTGTCAATCAAGTCAGAATATATAAATCCTGCAATTGTACCAGGGCACTATGGTGACTTTGTGATAAAACTGTACGTTTTTGACTATGCAACCCAATGAATTTACTTTAGGAAATTCTGTGCAATACACGATTTAAAATGCCTTGGGTTATTCAAATGGTCACACAGTACCCTTCCAGTATATTCTACATTGCAGTTCAGCCTTTTCCACTGTGTGCATGCATTCTCTACAGTGTGTGTACTCAGTTCTGCTTTATATTCATGTTCATTTTTTTTTTTTTTAATTTCTGCATATGTGCAAGAAGTACTTTGTGTAACTTTTTTCTGTGCATATATAGCAAGTACTTTGTGTAACATTTTTCAGTGCACATATAGCGAAGATTCCTTCAGCTAGCAAGTGAGCAAACACATGTGCTCTTTTTGGTATACAACATCCCTTCCACATTGACCTGCATGTGTACAATACCTTTCTGTATGAAAGTCCATTGTGCATGTTAAAGATGGAATCTACATGTGTGTATGCTAATTGCTGGTGAAAGCCATGTGAAAATGTGCATGTTTACCTTTATAATGTGCATGCTTTTCATGGGTTTTAATGCATGTGCTGCACCATTCAATGATAAAGAAATATACATATGTATACGTCTATTTATTGATCCGATAGTGTTGAATCAGGCAGGTAATGTAATGTGGGGATAAATTTAAAAAAAATGAGTATACATTAGTGCAGAAGTGTAAATCAGTAAATGTGATTAGTGTATTGGTATAGAAGAACAAAAGTGCAGCTATAAATCACTGGTGGGTTAGGTTACCACAATACCCATCCAAGCAATGGAGCAGAAAATATTTATTCATAAAATATTTTACCAGGAAAGATACATTGAGATTTCTCTCGTTTTCAAGTATGTCCTGGGTCCACAAATCATTGCATTGTTACATTAGGGTACAATAAAATACAAAAACAATATTAATACACAATAAATACAAAATTTAACATAGAACAGGCAGGAAATATATAATCAACCATGACAGGTGCATTCTGTTTTGAGGTATATAGAGAGGGATCTCTTAAAGGACTTTAGGCTTAAGGATGATTTTAAATTGTGCGGGAGGTCGTTCCACAATTGCGGTGCTCTGTAGGAGAAGGAGGATCGGGCCGTTTTCTTTTTGTATTGAGGTAGACTAAGTAAAGTGTTGGTACTGGATCAGAGCTTATAGGAAGTGGGAACAGCTGGGGAAAGCATTTTGTTCAGGTAGGGTGGGAGTTTCCCAGAAAAGCTCTTAAACACAAGGCTGGAAAGATGAAGGGTGCATCTGGATTCCAGCGACAGCCAGTTTAGTTCTTTTAGCATGTCACAATGGTGGGTCCTGTAATTACATTGTAGCACAAATCGGCAGAACGAGTTATACAATGTGTTGAGTTTATTAATGTGGGATTGCGATGCAGATGCATATACTACATCCCCATAATCAATGATTGGCATCAGCATTTGCTGTACAATCTTTTCCTTTACTGTAGGGCTTAGGCAGGATTTGTTTCTGTACAGGGCACCTAGGTTTGGATAAAGTTTAGATGCAAGCTTTTCTATGTGCAGGCCAAAAGATAGATTGGGGTCTAATATCATACCCAAGTATTTGAAAGAGTGGACTGCGGTCAGTATGTATAAGGTGAAGTTGCCTCAAAAAAGCTACATTGCCATTTCCTAATAAAATAATATACTAAAAAAATAAAATGCTATAGTGCAGTATCTATAAATATTTTCTACTATATTGCTTCTTTGTTCTGGAGCAGGTTAGCCTATGCTGGTTAATTGGGCAAGTATTTGAGGCTCAGAAGAATGAGAGTTTATTACTGTTTATTTAAAGCTCACATTTTTTATTTACATATATACTGCACTATGAAATGTTATGTTTTATGTGTGGATTCTGGTGAAAATTTAGTTTTATTTCAGTCTTTGTATGTTAAGGAAGGATTGTTTGTGCATACCTGCGTACATATATTTGTTGAGTGTGCCTAGCTACGTAGATTTGTCATTGCATTTACTAGAATAGCCCAGTAATAGTACCATGTAATCAGGGACGTATTAGCCGCGAGGCAAACAAGGCATTTGCCTTGGGCGGCATTTTTCAGGGGGCGGCAAAAAACGCCGCCCCCCAAATGCCCAGGGCAGATGCCTTGTTAGCCTTGCGGCTAACTGACATCCCGGGCGGCCGGCGAGGGAGCACTTCCCATGAGCTGACTGCTCAGCTCCCTCGCGCACCGCAAAGTGAGGCTGGGAGCCGGAAGATGACGTCATCTTCCGGTTCCCAGCCTCACTCTGCAGCCGACGCGCGAGGGAGCTGAGCAGTCAGCTCATGGGAAGTGCTCCCTCGCCGCCGCCCGCCCGCCTGCCAGCGCCGCCCGCCCTGCAGCCACTGGACCACCAGGGAGAGAGACCCCCCCCCCCCAGCACTCCCAAAGGTAAGGAGGTTGGGGGGATTTAAATTAAAAAAAAAGTTAATGTGTGTTTGTGTCTGACTGTGTGTGTGACTGTGTGTGTGTTTGTCTGACTGTGTATGTGTCTGACTGTGTGTGTGTCTGACTGTGTTTGTGTCTGACTGTGTGTCTGTGTATGTGTCCGTGTGTGTGTGTGTGTTTGTGTCTGACTGTGTTTGTGTCTGTGTGTCTGACTGTGTGTGTGTGTGTGTGTGTTTGTGTCTGACTGTGTGTGTGTGTATGTGACTGTGTGTGTCTGTGTGTTTGTGTCTGACTGTGTGTGTGTCTGACTGTGTGTGTGTGTTTGTGTCTGACTGTGTATGTGTGTGTGTGTGTGTCTGACTGTGTGTGTGTTTGTGTCTGACTGTCTGTGTATGTGTGTGACTGTGTGTGTTTGTGTATGTGTCTGACTGTGTGTTTGTGTGTGTGTCTGACTGTGTGTGTGTGTGTGTGTGTGTGTTTGTGTATGTGTCTGACTGTGTGTGTGTGTGTGTATTTAGAAGGTGGGGGGGAAGGGTTGGGTGGGGGGGGGGTGGCTGGGGGGCGCCTGAGTTTTGTCCTGCCTAGGGCAGCACAAAACCAGGATACACCACTGCATGTAATCACACAATATGATAAGTATTGTAGCGTTCCCCTCAATATAATGAATCATCCTCCCTCTAGATGGAAAATCCTGTAGTCCCATGTTCCGTAAGATGTAATTACGATGAGATGGCCATAACAATTAGAATAGCAAAATACATTCCCTCTAAGATGGTCTATATGGGTTTGTGAGATAGTAATTGGAGATTGGAGGCCATCCGGACATTTTTGCTACTGGATGCAGCCTCTCTTTACTTCCCTGATTGGACATTGTATCCTGACACACTCTGTCCACCACTATTGAATCAAGTCGGAATCAATGTCCGGTCAGTGAGTCCCTTAATTTTAGATCATCATAGATGAGGTCTCACTCATAAAGAAAACTGAAGACTTGTTTGTTTTTTTCCAGTTCTCAATATTTTGTGGAATAGAATGTTAACAGAGGTATGCAACAATTTGGCACTCCAGATGTTGTGGATTACATCTCCCATAACGCTCTAACAGCCATAATGCTGGCAAAGCATCAAGGTAGTTGTAGTCCACAACATCTGGAGTCCCTATTATAGGAGAACAGAATTTTGGTGGAGGTATTTAAGAATTAGAAAGGAAAAAAACATTAATTTAAAATAAACTTAAGGATAAAATCAAATTTGCAAGGGGAAACTATTGTAGATTGCAGTTTATTGAATAAAACCCACAGTATTCTAAAAGAGTGTCCATAAGCAGGGCCATGTAATACTGAAAGAAGCTGGGAAAGGGGATATGTCATAAGACGATGGATTTAATGTCCTTTCGATTTGCAGTTCAAGGCTATGTGCACTGATATCCTGCCACATCAGAACATGAGAACCTAGAAATAACATGGGAAATCATGTCAAGTGGAATGGTGTTCCTGAGCAGAGTCTGCTCTAGTTTATCTCATGTGGAAAATGTTGTGGATTATTGCCACTACAGACAATACAGTTGTGGTTCAGGTCAAGCAACCTATTTGTTGAGCCTTTGACTTTTATTAGTAAACCCAAATGTTCAAAAATGTGCCACAACGTGGTCTGCAGTCCTCATAATCTACAATCTGAATTTTGTAACCAAACTGCATGTCAGAATTAAAACAGAATGTTCTTGATGGAATCTGTTTAAAAGGAACATGACATACAGGAATACATAGGAAAGAGCACTGTACGTAATGAGGTATACTGAACAATAATAGGACTACAGGAATGTGCCACACAGATTAACGACAGGAAAACAGAAATGAAAACAGGCGTGGGTACATGCAAAAGCTTAAAACCAAATATGGCACAGTGATTAATAGTTGAGGCATGAGTCACGCAGGAATCTGGATTACACGCAAGCTATATCCAGATTTAATGTGCGCCAGTAGTTGGCATACGTGTTGGACAGGAAAAAGGGATTCCCATAATGGTGTCATCAATAAATATATCTGGCCTAGTTACAGGTACGAATTTAAAATTTGCAGACCAATTATGTCCAAAAGAAGAACGTACAGACACATGTGAACCATTCACCTAGGCAACAATACAATTCCGTGTAATTTATTTACTAGTAGAAATGTTAAAAACCAGAAAGCTGGACAATTATCCCAGCTTCTTGTACAAGCAAATACAAAACAACTATATACATACACCCATACATATTATGCAGAAAAAACAATGGCTTTTTGCCCGCAGGTATCGTTTTTGAAGCATGGCGGTATACATACTTAAATTATGTACTGGAAATGCGCATGTAAATACAGAAGATGTATTCAATATGCACCACCACAGTTGTATAAAAAAAATTTGTAAGATATAACTCAAATGTCATCAACATTCTTTTACATTGTAGCCATCTTTGATATATATCAGAGACATTTTCGTTTTTGTTTTTTACTACGGGCTGCCATCTTAGTTCCTTGGAGACATTATATGTATTAACTTGTGAAAACATTAACTCTAAAGTGATATAGATACTGGTAGGTCATTGATGTCAGTTAAATCTCTGTTCGTACATCAATAAACAACCACTGCTAGCAAAAAGAATTGGTAGTTAATTATTAACTTGCTGTTTGTTTTAATATTAGAAATGATAGACATAATTGCTAACAAAGTAATCAGTGCCTCACAATTGTGAAATATATTACAGACCTTTCTAGAAACCACTTACAGATCAAATACATTAACACAAGGACAGAGGTCAAAATAGGATATAAAAATGTTTTGGTTTGGTTTTTTAATTTAGGAAATCTTGCATTTTTGGTTTAAAATTGAATTCTCTTCATATGATAAGTTTACAATCAGATTTATACAAAGGTTTGGCCACTTATCATGCCAATTAGCATATAATTGACTTAAGTCACCACATGTATATTGGATACACACATATGACACAGAGGTTCAGTATGTGAATATGTAATATACTGAGTATTAACTACTAAACACAGTATATCTTTATCACGTGTACTCACACATGGACACTGTACATGCTGTTATGCACACAGACATATGTAAATGTCTCTTCCTGAGAAATAAGTGGCTTCAACTGGCAGAGTTATGAGTTGAAGTCCAACTTCCTTGTGCTGCCTTGTGTTGGTGTATCAGACTGGACTACTGCACACACGGTTGTTGATAAGCAGCAAACACAAGATTTAGTAGAAAGCTGCTAATTAGTGATACATGTTGAAGAAGACGAGGCCATGTATGCAGGAGCATGTTGGGCCTAAGCCATACATCCATATAAGTGCAAAGGGAAAAATTGACATATTTTATATATTCGTGCTGGAGGTTAACGTCTGTAAACAGTGTAGAAATCAGTATAATATTGCCTTAAAAAGCGGGTTAAAGGCTGCTTTTCCTCAATGGATATTATGGCCTTCAAAAAGGTTTACACGCATACCTCCCAGTGCTGAGGACAATCATCTTCCAGCTGCCATATCGATAAGTAGAATGGGGCTTAGTGCACAGTTTGATGGTTTTGATGCCATGTTGCCCAGAGTAGCACCTGATGCACAGTCCAGGGATTCCACTTCCTTATTGGCCTGGTGGAGGCTCTGGACAAATTCCAGGAGTATCATTTAGTGCAGGCCGAACTTTCTTCCTCTCCTTAAACCTCCCTGAGTTGGACACTTTTACGTGTTTCCCCTTTGTGTTTTTATCCACTATTTTTTCCAGGCGTTGAGTGTAGTTGCTGTCTCCATTGGTTCCCTCTGCTCCTTTTTCGGTTCCAGCATGTTCCCCTACGGATTCATAAACAGTTTTTGGAGTGGATTTCTTCTTGCGTAAAAATGTGAGCTTCCACCAGCTATTGGAAGTTTCCTCCATTGGGAAAGTCAAGTGACTGAGAAGAAAAACAAATGATACAGAGGTAATAGGCATAAACTGAAGCTTCTCATAACAAAGAGTACTACATTGTTCATGAGTGAGAAATAACACAATATGACTCATTGAGAAAGATGTCCATGAACCCTCTGATTTCTTTGTAGCACATATCTAAAACCTAAAATCAATATGCATAGATATGCTTGGTTACTAAATTCCACAACTATTTGTAAAACGTTGTGTACTGTTGATTAATAGGAAAACTGTAGAAACATATTAAGCAGAGAATGAAGAAATTAGACAATATAGAATAATCAGATGCAAAGAGTCATGAGTCCTCTACAATACACTTGTGATCAAATATTTTAAGGACTCAGCACTCTGTTATAATCTTCAAGTGTAGCCTATTTTGCAATGAAAAAATTATTTATGGGACTGGACGATTGCAATAGTTGAAATATTTAAGGCAGAAGATAATCTGTATTGGAAAAAACAATGAAGATAATATATGTATAATTATTACTTCATATATAAAAACGAAATGAATATTTTGACGATTTGTAGAACATGAAAATAACTTACATCTCACACGGTGAAAGACAGCATTACTACGTCATGTTCTCCAAATGGCCATCCTTGGCTTCCATTTGTAAATGATCTTGCAAGCAAGAGCCCTCTATAACTTATGTTTTGGTTTCACTGCCTCTAACATTTAGTTGGTTATACTCTCCGAGTACTCATTGAGGCATTAAGTGACCTGTGGTCATTATACAAATGAATCGCCATAATAAAATCGCTAAAATGTAGAATAATTGACTTTCTCTACCCTGTTTCTTACATGCACCTTACAATCAAGCCTTACTGTAGGACTTCTTCATTTATTTATTTTATTTTGCTTCATCTTATTTGTACACTTTACAATATAATAATGTGGTTAATAAATTCTCTGCTCCCACTTGTCCTTACTGGAAGCATTATTTTATTGTAAACCATTGATACGTTAAGTAGTTCACATTCTCATTAAATCGGATCTTTTTGTAAAGAAACTAGACAATATAGAATAATCAGATGCAAAGAGTCATGAGTCCTCTACAAAACCCATTGCTTTATGAATTAACACATTTTGTATTTTGTAAAAAATTACCAAATCTACATTTTGTGACTGTAAATATTCTGGTTTAAAGTGTATCAAGTATAATATCTATTTGATCACCATATGATAGAAAACCCAGCTTTAAATAGGTTATGTTATCAAGGCATGCATAACAAAACAGGATAAGGGACGAATGAAGATATTTTTACACCATACCTGATGACCCTATTACCTTTTACTTATTAATTATTAAGCATGCTGAACCTGTATCTTACCAGAGTTAAATTTAAAGGAAAACAAATTAGAATTTGTATATTGATCTAAAATGCAGATACGGACCATTACCTTATTTAAATGTTTTCTTTTTTTCCTCAGCAAATTGTTATGGTGCCCACGTCGTTTCTCCAAAGATAGGTGTCATGTAGTCTCCTAAAGGTATTGTGATGACTTGTATCTCTCTTGTCAGGTACAGAGCAGGCTCTTTTTCCAGTTCTACAGGTGTATGTCTCTAGTTCTCCCTCTTTCTCTTTGAATTGCAGAGGGTATTTTTTTTTGTTTATATTACTCAGTCTTCCTGAGACATTTTCTCTCACACACGTACAAGACTATCTGAGCCTGGTACAGGTGTCTCTTTCTTTTCTCTCTCTCTCTTTCTCTCTCGCTGTCTGAAGGTTAAACCTGACCCTCCCAACTCAACAAACAGGAGAGAGCAGGAACTAGAATATGAATATTTATACGAAGGGACACACCTGTCACATTGTAACAGAGTTCAGCAGGCAAGTGATTGTCACTGAAATGCATTACATTGTAAATTAAACTTTGTACCCTCACTTAATTTAGATGTAAAACAATATGGATAATCTGTAATCTTTATTATCTATTTATGTAGGTTTTGAGGAAAGAACTTAAACAATGCGAAGACACAAAATGGCTGCACTATAGAGTCTGGCAATGCTACCTTAGGAATCCCCTTAAGCCTGTTATAAATCAGAAAAGAACAGTCAGGTAGTGGCCTAAACATTGTATACACTGTATACGTATGTGGGTTGAAAAAAACAAACATTTGCATACCATTGCACAGAAAAATGTTTCTCTGATATTGAACCCCTGCAGGACAAAGGATTAGGCAAAGTCAGTCATATAATTACAGCTCTAACATGTCATTTGTCATGAAAGGGTTAAAGGAGACTCTGTAATCCACATTTTGTTGGCGATTTCATCACTAAATGTACAGATTAAAAGATTTGCCTAAGGGCAGAGGTGTAGCAGGCTGAAAGGCCAGCTCTTTGTCACAGAACCAAAGCATTGCTGATTTCAACCACATTTCATTTATTTTCTTCCTTTAAATATTCTCAGAACATATACGATTGGGTCCTACTGAAGGATAAAAGTGTCAGCAAACAACTCCAATATTTTATTAGACACAATATGAATTTTGTTATGACATCCCAACAATTCACACTTTATTGAATAGCCTTGATAGTATTGATAGTACAGCTTGTGATCACTGATAAGAGATGTATTCTCTAAACTATATGTTGGAGAGTATTAATGTGAGATTTGCAAATTTCAGGCCTGTGAGCCAAACTACAAAAAGACCCGAGTTGGAAAATGTTCCACATGTAACTGGAAATATTCAAAATATCTCTTTGCCTGGTCCTCCTTGGTAACTTTTGTCAAGCAACTTACATCGATGTAGTTTCAAATAAATTAATAAATATATACTCCACATCCTGGCCCCTCCTTTTCTCTTAATTTTCACCTTTTCTTTGAAACTCCTCAGACTTCCCGCCTTCCCCGTGGTCCTTCTTTCGTTACTCTGACTCCTATGCAATGCAGTCAATTATACTCCCTTTCCCCTTTTAAATTTTTTTCTCACTTGTTAGTGTTTCAATACATGGCAATAAGCCTATACATGGGTGTATTTATGCTCACGATTCATAGTATAATGATTATTTTCTTTTATTGTGCTTTGCTCGTAATCATTTCATATTCCTTCACTGTAGTCATGGCTGAAGCCCCCCACTGGTTAAAGGACCACTATAGTGCCAGGAAAACATACTCATTTTCCTGGCACTATAGTGCCCTGAGGGTGCCCCCACCCTCGGGGTCCCCCTCCCGCCGGGCTCTAGGGTGATGAAGGCGTTAAACTTACCTCTTTCTCCAGCGCCGGTGGGGAGCTCTCCTCCTCCTCTCCTCCCTCAGGAGCCGCGCGTGCATTCAGCCAGTCCATACGAAAACATTCTCAATGCTTTCCTATGGACGCTAGCGTCTTCTCACTGTGAAAATCACAGCGAGAAGCGCAGAAGTGCCTCTAGCGGCTGTCAATGAGAGAGCCACTAGAGGCTCGATTAACCCTAACATAAACATAGCAGTTTCTCTGAAACTGCTATGTTTATCGAAAAAAGGGTTAACCCTAGATGGACCAGGCACCCAGACCACCTCATTAAGCTGAAGTGGTCTGGGTGCCTATAGTGGTCCTTTAACTCGTATTGACACTGTGCATTATTCTGATGTAATTTACAACACTGAGAGCTCCACTTACACAACTCATATATGCCCGAATGCTCACTTAATTTTTTACCAACACGTTTGTGTGTCTTTTGGAACAATAATTGGTGTGAGCCAATTAAACAATCCTGTGGCTATTTATGCCACTCCGAGCACTCCATTTTGGCATAGTCTGAGTTTCTAGAGAGTGTGTTATTGTTATATGGTGTGTGTGTTTTCTGGTTTTGACTAACTTGATCTCTGGAATCCAATACCTTGGCTCATTTATCATATTTCTGTACTCTTTGACCTGTGTCTTTCCCTGTTTACTTTCAGTCTGTCTTCAGACTGTGATCTATACTATATTATGTAAGCTTTTTCACCGGTAATACCTTTTCTTTTATTAGTGTAGGATAAACTTTCCTCTAAGTTAGCATGTTGCCATTTACCTGCCTTGATAATTGTGTGTTCCATTGTACATTGCACATGTGATTTTGAAATATAATATTTTATTGTTAATATTTAATATATTCCTTACCAATTGCTTATCAATGTTTCTTTAGTTGATTTAGTTAGATTTACAGTTCTTTGGAGTGCTTTTTGTACCTGAGTATCACTTGACACACTTGTTTGGGTCATCATCATAAATGGAAATGTGTGAATATATACTCAATACTCAGTGTAACATCTTTAGAGTAGCATTGTGATTTGTAAAATTTATTCATAATTTCCATACCACCAAAGTGCCATATTTATACACATGAAGTAGTGGCCGCCATGATATTTTAAGATGGTGGGCTGAACAATTTAAAATAAAACCACACTTGGAATTACAGGGTAAGACAACAATTGTATAAATTGTATTTGTTAACGTGGGATAGCCCATCAGCATACTTTGACAGAAATCACCTTCAGGAGCAAACTGAGCATGTCCGAGGTGCATACAGAAGGTGCATTTTTCACAAGCTCAGCAGCTCTCAACAGCTTATCTAGACAGTCATCATTCATTATTGGTAAGTCTGTGCTGTGGCAGAAGAAGAATATAGGGACTTATTATAATAATGCAAAATTGTATGGTGTATATTTAGCATGTATAATGGAACTTTGCATGTTAACCTCCCACCCTATTAAACAATGTCAGTATTTCAATCTTTTACTACTAGCAATAGATTTGATTTTATTTGTAATTTTTTTCCTATGGCAACAATTTGGGACATTAACATATGTGCCACCACTAGATGGTGTTGGCTGGGGATGGGATTAGCAAGGGGAGCATACATAGCTGGTGCTCTGTGTCCACTGTTTAGCCATGTTCCTCTCTGGTCCTGTCTGACTTCAGCCACAGACAGCTTTATCTGCCATATGTCACAACTGTGGTCTATTGTAGAACCACCAAGTCCATTCTTTTGTCTGTGTACAAAAATAAAATGCCTTAGTCTTCCCATCATCCACTGCAGGAAACAGCAAAGGGTAAGGAATATCAAACTCAAGGCCACATTTGAAAAAATACTTTAGCTTGGGTCTTCAACCATGTAGACTTCTTTGGCTAATAATGTAAAATTTCTAGGTCCAATCATGATAATTCCTGAATTAGTGAATACTACAAAAACAATTCCAAAAACAGACCATAACATTCACCCTTTAATGTCCCATCTATGGCCTTGATTACAATACAGCCAGTAATATCGGCATTTTATTGGCTTCTGATAAGCATTTTATTGGTTTCACTGTGACTAACAGGATTAGTCATTAAAAAAGACACATAAATAGGTTTCTGAAGCACATTTATCTGACAATATGTTTTAAGCCACCGACCTGTTTATTGGGTTTGGCTGATGTTTGGCTGGCATTAAATCCTGCCAAAAATTTGACAAAAATATCAACCATTTTCAGCTGGAGGAATAGAGGCCTATGTTTGAATCATAGCAAATACATTCTCACTATCGTGCTGGTAATACATGCATCAAGCTCAAAGGGTAAACAAAAAGAAGCAATAACATAGGTGACATCTTTTTTCCAGATAATATGGAAACCCCCTAAGCTCATTCCTACACAGTCTGTATGTAGACCCAGTTGTCAGCATCCTGTTCACGTCTACCTTGAACTTTGGAATCACTCCAAGGAGTTTATTCATCCCAACATTTCAAATGGACATAGAGGGACACTTT